CCAATACCCAACCTTCGAACTTTTTGGGTTGATATAACTTAGTGGTAATCTGACAGTTTACCCTTCTGTTTCCCTGGCTTATTGGGGAAGTAAGTATAGGGCTCTTGTACTGTAAGTGTTTCTTTAAAGTCGCTAGTAGTTCACCATTGGGTTTGGAATTTAGGGTTTTTGGAAAGTGTGGGGATTAGTGGATTTAGGGGGGTTCGGGAGGCTCAGGGTGTTCGGTAGGTCTGGGCTTGAGTGAACCCTAAACTCCTACACCCTTCTAAACCGCGAATCAGGCCTAAACCCTAAACCCCAAACCCAAGTCCCTAAACCCTAAACCTTATAAGCCCCTAAACCCCAAACCCTAAACCAACATGGAGGCGAATGTTCTTTGCGGCCTCCTGGCGTCCAAGCGTACCTACATCGAAAAGAAGGAGGGCTCGGGAGGCCTCCAAGGGAGCGTTTTGAGCTTTTTTTGAAGGCCCCTAAACGCCTATAACGCTAAACCCCTAAACCCCTATCAACCCTAAACCCCTATCAACCCTAAACCCCTAAACCCCTATCAACCCTAAACCCCTAAAGCCCTAAGCCCCTAAACCCCTAAACCTGAAGCCCCCTAAACCCCAAACCCAAAGCCCTCCTGTAAAGGAGCCTTAAGAGGAACCCTGGAAGCCTTAAAGGAACCCTCAACGGAAGCCCAACGGAACCCCTAAAGAACCCGTAAGGGCTCCATTTGAGGGCTCCTGTAAGGTTCGGATGAAGAGGTTTAGGGTTTAGGGTTTAGGGTGCTTCTTTGAGGGCTCCTGCAGAGCGGTCCTGCGAGGGGTTCCGGAAGGGATCTAGGTATTTGGGTTTAGGAAGTTCGGGGTTTATGGTGGGGCTTAGGGTTTAGGAAGTTCAGGATTTATGTTGGGTTTAGGGTTTAGGGTAAAGGGTTTAGGAAGTTCAGGGTTTATGTTGGGTTTAGGGTTTAGGACGTTCCGGGTTTATGTTGGGCTTCGTGGTATCACTGTCCTCGTAGGCTTTGCCGCATTGCCGTGCCTCCAGTCCCCGAAGCGGCACAGCTCCAGCATCTGAAGCCTGTAAGCCCCACTGCCCGGACCACATCCGAGATGCTGAGACATTCCTAAACTGCAACCCAAGACGCTAAGACCCTAAACCCTAAACCC